TGATATATTTTTTAAACTTAAAAAAAATCAGTACTTAAAAAGAGTTCTTAGATCATTATTGTGCAAAAAAGATTGAGAGCCATTGTTTTCATGTGATTATGGAAGTTAACCAGTCTGGAAATCATTATTCTAATTAATATACCTACCAGAACAGGATTATTTCTTTTCACTTAAAGAGCTACCCTGAGTCAATAAAATGTCTTCTAGCCTTTGCTACTTTTGTTGTGTTCCATCTTTTCTTTTTAGGGTGAAAAAAGATTTTAGTAAGACTTCAAGTATGTGGTCAGCTACTCTGATTTGGAATTCCAATCAGTTTAAAATTTAAAATTATATACATTTAAAAAGAAAAAAAATCCTAATCAAATTTTACATGTCATAGAATACCTAATTCAGTTGTCATAAAACAGAAAACATTATTGTTACGTTGAGGGGTTAAACAAATACAAGCAAGACAACATTCTGCGTTAAAGTAAATGCATACATTCTCCAAGTAAATAAGGTGACCTGATTCACTAACTTTCTCTGGAAAAATAATGTAACTTCAAGGGCATATAGAAAATCCAACAAATTAAAAAAAAACACAAATGATTTATTCAATTTGTAGTAAAATTTTAGAAATATTTCATTTGAATAAAGTATAAAAACTCGCTCAATCTGGATCCATGGGTGAAGCCTGAGGAAAACATTTCTAGGAAAAACTAAAAAAAGTACAGCCCCCAAAAGGATACAACAAGAAAGGATACACTTTGCATGACAGTATTACAGCAGTATTTACGCAGGGATGCTTCTAAAGAAGAACAGCAGAATGCAGTTTAATTTTTTTCTTACTTTTAGCATTAGATTTACAAATAACATTTTTTATCACACTCAAAATTATTGTTTAATTCCTTAAGATAGAACTTCTGATGAAATTGTCCTTTCATGCGACCTTTTTTATAACAAAACTTTGTAACAAAATTCAAATATTCAAGAAATTTCAGAAGGAATCAACATTAAGCAATCTTTTCTTTGTCATGATTTTTTTTCAGCAAAACACCAATAATTTTGATGCATTTATATCATGATCTTCCAATTAACAAAGATTTTAAACAAAATAAACAAAAGGGATACATAGCCACTCAGAATGCTACTCAAATCAAACACTGTAACAAAAAGTTTAAAATTTTAAATGCT